GTAGGGTCGTAGGGCATTTTGTTTACGTCGGATGAGACGATCTGTGTCGAGAATCTACATTTACGTTCCTCAGCTTTCCTCGTAACGGAGGCTCGTTCCTCCCGCTGCACAGTTTTACAGCAAGCTTGTAGATTTGTATATAAATGATTAATTATTATGCTCTTCATCACTCTGCACCGCAGGGATTCCTCCTCAGTGGAGCAGCAGATGAGGACGTAAAATCACTCTAAGCAATAAGCTGATCAATAGTTCTGATGTGTGTCTTTTGTTTACTGCTCATTCAGTGGGCGCCTTCTGTTTTTATTTGCCCCCAAATCAGCTGGACATTTGATTTATTTGTATATGTTTTCCCATGTAATGTACATTATACTGTATATACATGAAGTTGGGTCACTGTTAAGAAAAACACTCTTCGACTTTATTTTTACAGTTTATTTACTGGAGAATGTGAACTTGAAGTTAATTTTGTGTGTTTAAGTTGTTTTCAATTTGTAAGATGAACAAAATTTAATAAAAACATGAAGGTAAAGTTGAGTTCAGTGTTCATTTTTCCATAAAACAGTAAAATGATTCCTGCCTGTATTTCATTTAAGAATGTTTTGATGTGGAAACATCATTCAAAGCAAGACATATTTGCACAGATTAAAGAGCAATGACAGCCGACTTATTAACTAATGTTGGTTAAAGAACAAACTAAAGACTAAATATGCATCAATTCAATTTCCCTTGATTGTCTGAACTTTCCTTTCCTGAAGATTATTTGTCCAAATGTGATGGTGAGACCCTGGAGGGTGCTTGGAAAAGCATCGTTTTACTTCCTGATGTCATGTTTCACAAAGTCATTTCGAGGTTGCAGGGATGTTGCCGGTCACGTCAGCTAAGCCGATGAGCTCATATGTGTGTTGCCCAACTGGTTGCTGAAGTTGGTGTCTTCCGTGCAATTTACGGGCAATCGGCACTGGCAACCAAAGTAACTGCAACAAGGTTTTTGGTGCAGCAACCTCCAGCAATCACTCACCAGCTGAATAATAAACACATTTCCCTAGCAACCAGTGGTTACCATGGAGTCACTGACTGGTCTCTAGGCCTGTGTGATCGAGGCATAAACTGCTGCTGCCTCTGCAAGCCGCTTGTCAACCATACCTCCACCCATACTCCTCCTTTCATACTGTTCATGTTACTTCTGATTCAATCAGTGTCACGTCCGTTGTTATTATCCATGCTCTGTTCCTCCAGCAGCCCTTTGAGCGCAGACAGAGTAAACCTTCACAATGTCCTCAGACGATTGAGTTGGAATGATGTTCCTGTACTTCCACAGGAGTCCACCTTCAGCTCCCTAAAGATTGACTTTCTTGTGCACCATCGCTAAAACAAAAAATTAAATTTTCCCAAGTATTCCTAAAAAATTGACAGCTTTTGAATGCTCCTTCTGTCGTAACTACAAACTATGAGTGGGTGACACCAGGAGCAGGTTGTGGTCTGTAGCAGGTCAG